CGACTCTTTGAGCAGAGATCATAGATTCAAGATCCAGCATTTTTAAAACGCCATCTTCAATATCATATATTAAAGCTGAACATTTGACCTTGTCCTTGCCCGTCCAGATAAACGAATAAAGTTCTTTATTAACTTCTTTAATGAGTTCCTGGACACTGGAATTAAAGATGCCTTGAACATAATTTTGGATATGGTGAATGATTTCACTATTTGAATTCTACCAATGACCATCAGGCACTTCCACTTCCAAATATTCAATACCTTTTTGATGGATTTCAGGACAGAATCGAAGTTGGCTTTCTTTCTCCTTACATTTTTATAATCAAAATGCACACCAAGAATTTTAATTGAAGTTTTAAATTCAAGAGGGAACGTCTCAAATTCTGAATTCGTTGTGCCTAAAATAAAAAATTCAGTCTTCTCCTCATTTACTTTGAGACCAGAACATTCCGAGAATTTACTAAGGCACTCTCGTAAACAATCATATGAGGATCTGTTACAAAGAAAACAGGTCAAATCATCTGCAAAAAATGACACTTTAACCTCAGAATTGCCAATTTGAATACCCTGAATCTTGTCATTTTTTTGAATACTGCATGCCAGAATTTATAATCCTAATATGAAAAGAAGAGGTGAGAGTGGATCTCCTTGCTGCACACCTCAACCAACTGTAAAATAATCTGATGTAAAACCATTGTTGATAATACAACTTGATATATTTGAATACAAAGTACGGATCCATTGAATAAAAGATGGCCCAAAGTTGAAGACATTGAGAACTTTTAAAAGATAAGTATGATCCAAAGAGTCAAACGCTTTTTCAAAGCCAATAGCAACAAGAATGCCTGACATTTTCATATGTTTGGTGTATTCCAAAATATCGCCAAAAGTTCCTACAGCGTCGAAAATTGACCTTCCTTTTACGTACGCATTTTGACTGCATTGAATTAACTCAGGTAAGTTTGGGTCCAATCGTTTGGCTAAAGTTTTAGAAGCTATTTTGGCGTCCACATTGATTAGGGAAATTGAGCGCCAATTTTTTATCAACCTTTTGTCCTTTCCTTTCTTTTCCAACAAAGTAATTACAGCTTGTTTTTGAGAATTGGAGAGCTCGCCATGATCATGTGCATAATTAACCAATCCATCAAATGCCTGCCTACTATTGGCCAAAACACTAAATAAAATTCTATCGCGAGCCCGTCATTCCCTGGAGTTTTGTTCTTTTGGAATGTCATTAAAGTGTTAAAACATTCTCCTACCGTTAATTTTTCATCACATCTTACTCTTTGGTCCGAGGTCAATTTTGGAAGATGTAAATCCCTCATAAATAAATCTGTCAAAATTTCACAATTCTCATGTATACTTTTTCTATAAAGGTTAGAATAGAAGGAACAAAGTTCTTTCATAATCACTTCAGGATTTGATGTTGAGGATTCATCTTCCTTAGATATCTTCCGAATTGAACTTTTCTTACCTCTGGAATTTTCTAAATTTAAAAAATATTTGTTGCTTTTTTCTCCTTGCTCGTACCAGGTGGCTTGGGTTCGCATTACCCCTTCGGTGATGTAATCATTCTGGAGCTAACTCTGTCTTCAAAACCTCAAATGTGTTCATATTTTCTGGCAAAGGATCTTGATCACACATTTTTTGACAGTCATTGAGCTTAGATTCTAATGCAGCCATTTTTGACCGTCGCTCTTTGGCTTTCAGTTTACTGTAAGAAATACTTTCTTGGCGAATTCTATACTTCATCAGATCCCAGAAAAGCCTCGGATCTGTAACTTCTTTGAATTCATCGTTCCATAATGGGTATTTCATTAAATTAAAGACACATTCCTTATCATCTAACAAGTTTGAATTAAGCTTCCAAAAAGAGGGACCACGGGATCTAATCTCAATTCCATTTATAGATGGCACAATTGCTGAATGATCAGATTTAAGCGATGAAATGACATCAACATTATCAATATCTTCCTGCATAGCATTGCTTACTAGCCAGAAATCGAGCCTCCTTTGGATCATGGGTGTCTTCTGACGCCATGTAAAACGTTTTACATTTGGGTTTCTAATCCTCCATATATCAATTAAATCATTAGCAAGGCAGATGTTTTCAATGCACTTAACCGATTCTTTTCGTTTTGGGTTTCCGCCATTTCCATCCAGATCAGGGTGGAGAATTACGTTAAAATCACCACCGATTACAATGTTACAATTTTCCACTACACAAAGGTTATCCAATTCTTTACGGATCTCGTCAAAAAATGCAGATTGCTTGTTTGTTTTGTTCAGGGCATACAAGTTAACAAAGAGAAAGGGATGATCCTAGACATTTGCTTCTAAGATGATGAAACAGCCATTTTTATCCACTTTTATAGTTTTAAGTTCGAACTCTAAAGAATTTTTAATTAGAATGAGGACACCCCTGCTATGTTCCATACCATGCAAGAAAAACATTTCCCCTTTCCACTGAGACTTCCAGATTTTCTCCACTTCAGGAGTACTATATGATTCTTGCAAAAAACAAATATCCGCTCTATCTTTCATTAACCACCCAAACAATGCCTTTCGCTTCTCAAAAGATTGAATCCCTCAAGCATTTAGTGACAATAATTTAAAATTAATATTGCTAGGAGCCATATTTGCATAATATTCCATTTAAATTCCACCGATCAAAACAAATATATTCGTTGGCTGCAAAGCCAGTTTTGAGAGAAATTGACCTTGAATTTGAATTTGACCCTATACCTAACAAAGAGCAAAATTTTATGCAATAAATTACTTTACAAAAAATAAAAATGCGACACAAGACACAGAAACCCTCACAACATATTTTACAGTAGCCAGAAAAAACTGCTTTGGTACTGTGGATCGAATCGAAAAAAAACCGAACAGGACACTGAAACTACAAAAGATGGTGAATGCCCCGTAATTCACGTTGGATGTCAACTCTCCAAAAAAGAAAAACTATCACCTTATGGCCTTAAATGTAAGCTTAATGTGGAACGATAAACAATAACATCCCTGTAACCCTAAACATGAAATTCACATAGTCAACATAACATACCCTGACCATCTTCAAATATACTGTTTGACATTGCTATTTTATGCTAACATACCATTGTAAATTTAAGCGACTATGGAGAAAGATCTTGATGTCATGACAATGAAATTTTGCTAGCAAAACATGAGTGTCAGTTCATAACGGTACTAAAACTCTGTCAATATAAAGCTTGTCGGACTCCGCACAACTGAAAAATGCAAGCTTACCAGATTTTCTTGCCTCAATCAACTTCTTAAACTGCTCCTTGCACCTTTTAACAATCTCCTTCGGCAAGTCCGCTGAGATGCCAAACTGAGAATCTTTCAAAAGACTCTTGTCTTGGAAAAGATAAATTCTCAATCTTGATAACACAGAAACCTTGCTATTATCACTCTCGGCTTTCCATCTGCATTTATTTTTCCTACGCTGTGCACCCATTGGAACTCAATTTTTTGAACCTCTCCTGACTGAATCTCCAGCACTTGCACAAATAATTCTCAAAGAACAGAGTGGGTATCTTCCTTAGCACCAGTCTTCTCTTCTATGCCATAAAAGCGAAGATTCTCGTGCCGTTTATAAACCTCCGCGTACAACAATTGATCTTGTAGATCCTTGTATTTATCATCGCAGTAATTCTCAACTCTATCACCAGCAGTCTTACTTGCTTCAACAATGGTATTCAATGCTTGGAGACCATCATGCATATCTTTAATGGCGTCCTTCGACTTTGCCTGATCTTGTTTGAGCATTTCCACTCTGCCCTGTACCTTACACAGTTTCTCTTCTAGGCTAACAACCACAGCATTAATTGACTCAAGTTTTAAATTTACTGCTTCAAGACTAGAAAGAATGAGGTCAACTTTTGCACCAAGGTCGTGAGTCATTCCTATTTGCTGCGGAATTTTGTTCCCTGAAGACGACACCAAGTCAATGTTCAAAGGCTTATCTCTGGCCCTTTTTTCTTCCGGAGACCTCAATTCGTTGTCGGAGGGACTGGAATTGCTTCCACGCTTTTTCCTTTTAAGATTTAAAGTAGCATCTGCCATAAAGCGTTAAAAACTATTGAAATTGTGGAGAGCTTCAGAAACACGACTATCCACCCAGCATACCTAGACCCAGTCCCCAGCACTTGAGGTTGCACATCCCAGCCAACTCAAATAGGTTCTCTGACCAGTGCACAACCTCTCCAACAGTCTCCACCATTACAGGATGTAGCGGCCAACATCTCAGGCGCTGTGATTGAGGGTCTAAAAGTGGCGGGGATTTTCTCAGATGTTCCAGCAGATTCCAGCAAGAACTCTTATCAAGCTGCCTCTGTAAAGGGGTCAGTGGCAGCTGTGATTCAGGACATCACGGGTGAGCACAATTCACTTTTAGTTAATCAGAACAATAGCAATATTACCGCTCATAATGTACCTGTTGTATCCGATCCATTGGTCAGCGCTATTGACCCGCCCGAGCTTGTGCATAAACAGATGGCTGTTCCACTGGCCTCTTGAATCTCTGACAAAATTCAGTCAAAAATTTGGGCAAACGAATATGTCGATTTTGGGACCTGTTACAGAGGTCATATGCAAACGATTCAAAGTACAATTTTGTCGTCCAGGCGTCGCCATCCGCAGATCGGCAGGTCATAAATCTTGACCCAGCACAAAAATCAAAACGTATAGCCACGATAGATCAATGGATTACAGCCTTTCAAACCTTTGTAGTGATTTATACTGTCTGGTTTCCGAACGACACAACCGCCTTAAGGAAACATAGCAAGACAGTGCGGGACCTGGCCGCTAAGAACGCTCACTGACACTGTTATGATGAAAATTTCCGCTTTTTGTGACAAAAAACACTTTTCCCCTGGGATCAATTCATTGGGAATTGTGGTTGCAGGCGCACCACATGAACAGAACAGCCCCTGCAGTTTCCTCAGAATTGCACCAAAAAGAATTCTAAGTAGCCCTTTCCGTCTGGATTCTGCTGGAAATTTCACCTTGGGAGAAGTGTTCAGGCTGCAACTTCAAACACGAATGTTTCAAATGTGGAACTTGACATCCTGCAAACCACTGTAAATTTCCCAGCCAGCAGCAATCAAATCTGCCAAAAAATGCGTCCTGATGAGCAGGACCATTTGCATCTAACAAATCCACCGCTCCATCCCACCCTGTCTCACCAATTATAGTTGATAAATTACGGTTTTACCTTGAGGGGTACCCTGCTCACCCTAAGCAATACCTACTCAATGGCTTTCCTTTTGGTTTTTCCATTGATTATGCTAGACATCATCAGAATTTTTCATCTACAAATCTTTTATCTGCCATTACCAATCCTAGGGCTATTGATGACAAACTTGACATAGAGATTCACCTAGGCAGAATAGTGCATCCATTTGATACTCGGTCGTTTTCAGTATTTCACATCCTCCCGTCAGAATGATAAAATCGATCCACATAGCTGCCAGATTTTGTACTTGGATGGTAAGCACATTTCATTCTTTCTGGGTTACCTTTTTCTCAATACTTGTGCCATGTGTACAATGTTATATTCTGAGTTTTGGATTACAGAGTTTTATTTTTCCAAAACCATCTGTAAAGGTAATTGCTCATTTTTCTCACTAACAGTAGTGCATCATTACTGTTAACTACGGCTAACTTCCATAGAGGACATATTTGTTGGCGGCAAAATAAAACACCACTGAATCAACAACAGAGAAACAGAAGAGCGAGAGACTGTAAAGACTGTAAAAAAGACTGGGCTTCAGGTTTCGTCACCCCATTATATTGCACCATTGCCCCAAGTTAAGTCACTCCCAAAACAAAATTGTAACAAGATTTTCAACTTGTATAATGAGAAACTTGTGTATTTCCCAAATTTACTCTGCTCACCTAAAACCGAAGAAATAAAAGTTTTTTCACTCTGTAGAAAGATTTCATATATTTCTCTTCCTATTTTTCTTCTGTGAGGGGGCTTGATTACGTATGGGTACCTAAAAATGCTAATTATGAGAGCGTGTTGTAAGGGTGCAAGTTTCCCTCGGGGATAAGACTGTATGTACATATGTTACCAGTTAGACGAGAACCTTAGACACACGTGTTAAGGTATTCCTGCAGGCTAATTTGCATATTTTTCTACCATATTTGCATGCATCAAATCAGTAAAAATATTAGCTCAAAAATGATCAAATTTTCACATCTAAAACGTTGTTCTATGTATTTAGTTTAAAAAATAATTTTATTCAGCCAGAATGAAAGTAGTCCCTGAAATTTGATATTTAAATGGGCGTGGTCGAAACCCTCTTATTTTGATTATTGCAAAATAACTCAAAGAATATTCCTTCAATGTTGGAAAGGTTTGGCCAATTTATGCACGAAGTTGAAAACTAAAATTCTGTGCGAGTATGTCAAAAGGAAAACGGGAAAAAATTACATCTAGACATGTTTTCACACCCTTATAAAAATGGAAATGCTTCTACGAGTCTTGTATTCAAAGGCCTTTGACGTACTCGCACAAAAAAGTCCGTTCACATACATAGTTTTTGTCTGCCAAGTTTTAAGTCAGCGATTAACCTACAAAAAGAAAATGAAATGAACAATCTCCCACATTTATTTATACCATTTATTTAGACACGAGATCAAGCTTTAGTCTGAAAATTACCAGTCAGAAAGCTCTCCTTTCGTTGTTTTCCTCAGCAGCCATCTTGTAAATGCCTAAAATAATAGTTTCCAGCGGTATATTGCCTAAAACGGCCCTGCTTTGGGCCCTTTTTTCCTTGTAGGGGGTGCTATTTTTCCCATGAAACCAATCAGAAAAAGCAATTACAAACAATAACACCTTTGCATAGCAACGGCACCCGCGACGGCATCCAACTGTTAGTGTTGACAGTGTGAATGTGAGAATTGACATTCGAAGCCAGCAAAAGATAGGACGTGCGAGAGAATATAGCGAAAAAAAAACGAAATAAAAAAACAAGTAGTCGGAGTGATGCTGCTGAAAAAGCAACAGAGAGAAACTAGCGAGAAAGCGGCGAAGGTGGCTAAAGGTAACGCAATTCGTGGTTCTGGAACACAATTCAGAATTGCACTAGATTTGGATAAGTTGAGGGAAGCTGGCTGGACGATAAAACAGGAGGACAGGGAGTCGTCCTCGGGAGTTAAGGTCTACCTACGCTACACAAACCCTGGTGGAAAGACACTAAAAAGTGCGAAAGATGTAGAACGGCAACTGAGAGATGAAGGGGTCTTGGAGACCTTTCAAACAACTAAAACCATTGTCAACGCCAAACAAGAGCAGAAATCAAGGACCGATTCTTCCCACGATGACTCTGACTACGAACCACCACTAAAGGAACTTCGTGAGGAAAGCAATAGTGAATGGTGAGACTTCTACTTGTATCTTGATTTGTAGCTTACAACAAACCATCTCAATTTCATAACTTTTTTCATTGAAGATTGATGGCTCGATTAGTTGTCTTGTCTAGCTTTGAGATTTTCTCACGTTTCTGTGATCTGTGATCTGTGATCTGTGATTAATGAATACATTCTCATTACATAAGCGTCCATGACATACGTTTACTTCACTTCCCCTTGGTGCTTTCCAGTGAAATTTTTGATTCATGTTTCGTTAGCTTGTGTAGCTACAAATTTTATGTGAAAACATTAGCTAACCTTGACCGATGATTTTCCAGTGCGAGTTTGTTTACTGTAATTACAATGACTCTGCCAAAACGCTGTTACCTACAATTCCTGTTATCTTTTAGCATCCGTATCCCAGAAGGACTGTTTGTGGCCACGATGTCAAGCATTATTTCTTTTGTTCATGAGTTCAATGCCTATTTTAAATGCCTATTTTAAATGCCCTTCAAAGGAAGGAAGATGTAGAGGTAAATTTTACTTGTGTGTGTGGGGTTATGCATGCAATCAGGTGCAATAATGGTTTTGGAAATATATAGCCCTGTAAATATTTTTTTTTGGTCGCTGATAAGCATTGTGCTCCATTTCAATGATTGAAAAATTATTTCACTCTCCATCAAACAATTATATCTGTTTATTAAATCCATTTTGTAATCACTGGCTATCCTTGCAATCTGATTGGCTCTCAATGGTGCGATTTATTCACGAATCGCACTATTTTT